GCCACAGCGTGACTGAAGGCATTGCCGCTGTGGCTAACATACACCCCTCCAACTTTAATGACCACAAAGGAATTCACAGTATTGAACTGACCATGTGACCAAGAAGCATTGTCATCTCCTTTGACCTTGTGTAGGTTCTCTACCTGTTTGTTTAGGTGTAACTATAGTTTCAGTGTTAGCTATCTGGCACAATTTTTAATTTCTTCTGATGACAGTATTGTATTTTTTCAGGTGCCGTGGATCAATGAATTGAAAATGATGATCATTATCAACCTCACGGTCTGTGTTATATATCACTATGACTAAGTTATTAATTTATTATTTTCTCAAACCAATCACATGTATTTTTTTTGTCCTCTCTTCAAATTACGTGTTGTTGGAACTCCATTACCCCCGGCCCCCCCCCCCGCACATCGCAACACCCTCGCATTAGGGCCTTTGGGTTTGTGTGCTGGCAGCGACGTACGGAAGGCACATTGGCTGATTATAGAAGGTATGAAGTTTTTATATGCCATAATTTTCTTCATCTATTTGCATTGTTTTAAATATCCCCGACATGGCCCGATATATCCCCAGATATATCCTTTTACAGGGCTTGCCGCAACCGATATGGTCTTTAAATATCCTTTACCGCTTATTGGCTATTTTGAGTGATAAATCCCCGATATGGCGGATATATTAGCCGATATGTAGACCAATATATCTTTTTATATAGCTTGTTGCAAAATAATATACCGTGTTTGGAATTTTTGGGCGAATTATCAAGATTTCCCCATTATATCAAATGACATTTTGCCCTAAAAAAGCAGATCGAATGTTGCAAGGTTGCTTTGCACTTTTGTTTGTTTTAGAACGTTGATTAGTGATCCTAAACATATATTATTCATATTTTGTATGCTTAAATTTCATTACATATGTCGAGATTACATTTTAATGCATTATACTATGTATGCAAACATTCATTATGGCATTCCGATATTTACCACATATCCCCGATATTTCCTCGATATCCGTAATCCGATATGAATATTGGCCATCCGATATTTCCCCGATATCCGATATTTAAAACCTTGTCTATTTGTATTGGTTAGCCATGCAGTCCTTTTGTCAATTACATCAAATATAATATATTATAGTTGAACTAGTATCCACTTATGTGGATATGAGATTTTGTCCACCCAAATTTTGGATTGACTTGATAGATCAAGTTTTAGCAACTCTACCCCTCATTAAATGATGACAACTCATTCCTTAGATCTCGATCTGTTAAGTTAAATGATGACAACTCATCATTCCTTAGTTTTTTAATTTCAATAATGTGTGTAATTATTGTAGCTTTATGAAAGAGTGAATCATGTATTTGATGTTTGTTGTCTTTGTGGGTTGGTGTTGCTTATAGAAATTAAGCTTTTGCTAAATTGTATTAAGACTACGAAAAACCTGTTATGTTGAAATAGAAACAAGCTTGGGTATCATTTTATAGTATATACATTGGTGTTCTGGTATTTCAGTTTAGGGTTGGCACATTTCTTTGATGAAGCTGTTGGATGAAGAAATCTAGAACCATTTTCTTGGATGCCTTTAGCCAATTAAGCATGCAGTAAAGCATTGGTGTTATGCTTAAATCCCCCTGCCTGCTCATTCCTGTTGGAGTCTGTCATGAATGAGGTTAAACCAACGCCCCTTTGGTGATTGAATGTTGATGTTTACGTCTCTTTACTCTTGTTAAGGGGAATAATCGTACCGATAGTGTTAGTCGCTGGGAATATGTACATCTTATATTCTTCTTTGGACCATTATTGATTTTTTTCTTCCTCCTTTACATGGTTACATTCTCTTACTGCCATGCGTCAATCGATATTTTTTGGTTTTCATGTGTGTGGCATGACTTAATATTATATATTGGAAGTAAATTATTGTTAAAAGTGAAAGATTTGATTGGATTTATTTTTGATTGGATTTATTGCACTAACTTCTTAGAAAGTTAGAATTCATCATTGGCGGTGTCATCTATATTAAAACAAATGTTTTAAAGAACTTAGAGGCCTTAATGCCAATGATAACATTATGTAAAGGAAGAATAACATTTTTTACTACCAAGTCGATGAAAATTGTCCTTTTTTTTGGTGTGTGTTGGGGGGGGGGTGGCTTTTGTGTGTAGAATATTTGAAGGAATTTGGAAGACAGCTTGATCGAATAATGCTTATACTGCACCATCAGAAAAGGTAAGTCATTGTCCTTGAACTGTTGCTCAAGCTAAGAAGCATGGACATCAAACATGACAAAACACTGGTCACGCTGCATCACACTAGTGTATACGTGTGTTGTACATATGTTCCATGCATTCATAATAGAACAAAGAGAGAGTGAGAGTGTATATAGCATATTCAACAACATATCCAAGCATCCAAAAGACCCAAGTCATATTTTTAATGATATAAGAAAGTACAATGCTTATCGATGTGCTAAAATGCTAAACTAAGTACATTTTTTGAGTCTCGCAAATGGAATAAGCTTTATCTTGTCCATTTTCTATGGAGTACACGAAGTAACTTACTTTTTTTATATTGAAATATATCCAAAAGTATCATAGTCTTATACAAGGCAACAATGACCAATGTTTTAAATGTCGAACGTTGGGTTCATGTCAGGCGGCTAAAATTCATTTCGGATAGCGGAAATCGGTGATATGTCGGGGGACAGAGAAAAATATTGGATGGTGTGCATATGTGTAATATAAATATCATAAATGAAATCTAAATACACTTAATAAATTTTATTGTCTAAACATATAAAAAAGGAAATAATTTATGATGCTTAGGGTTGATGTTGAAGGAAAGAGGAGCCCGATGCTGGCGGTTGAGGAGAGAGAAGATTGCTCGATATTGATGTCGAAAAAACACCTCGGAGAAGAGAGATGTCGAAGGAGAGAGAGAGAAGAGGAGTGACAAAAATGACTTCGGTCTTTTTTTTCTTCCATTTCCCCTAACTGATTGAGTTTTGTTTTTGGAAGTAATATTAAGACAATCAGGAATTTAAACCGAACTTGATTAGATTAACACAACAAAAGAAAATTAGCTAATTTTTCAGACTAAAAAATCGGCCGACATAGCCGGCATGTTCCTCGATATATCCCTCAGACATATCTGACATGTTCCTTGATATATCCAACATGAACCCTGAAAATGTAATATGCATTGAAAGGCTCCATATCGTGTCGGTTGGCCCTTAATTCTGACATATCAGCCGATATGTCCAACATGACAGTCAACATTTGAAACATTGACAATGACTAAAGTATAGACTGGTATATAAACGGAAGTACATGTTTAAAACATGTAATGTAGGACATGTTGGCTAAAAAGTATCCATCAAATTATCCATAATTGAAGAGTGTATTTTATGATAGAGGACAATTTAGTAAGTGTAATCAATGTTTTAAATATAGGCCGATTTTATCAATTTATTCCCGATATATAGGGTTTGGGCTATGGCCGATATGATTTTTGTAAATATCGCATATAGTTTTGGACCGATTTTTCCCGATATGTCGGGGTAAACCCGATAAAGCGACTGATTTTTCGTGGGCTAAAATCACCTGATTTTCTACAATTTACATTCTAAGTGAATTGGTTCATGTTTGGAGACAAAAAACCCTCTTTTTTTCATATTTGATCCGCATACACTAAACAAAAATAATAATATCCTATTCTATTTCGCTTCCACTAAACAAAAACAATTGGTAAGTGATCCCACATGTGTTATTTACATATTATTATGTTTATGTTTCATTAAATGTGCTTAGATTACTTTTTAAGACATTACATTATATATGTTCACTATCCGATGTAACACTCCGATTTTTACTACTTATCCCCGATATGTCCCAATAACTAGGATCCGATATGAATTTTGGCCATCCGATATATTTCCGGTAACCGATATTTAAAACATTGAGTGTGATATACGTGTTTGATGAGTTTCAGAAGAAGTGATGCTGTTGATACGTGTGTTCACTTGTATGAAAGGGTATGGCTTCATTATGAAAGTGTTAATGCTACATAGTTGACAAGTTCTCTGGTGTACTCTCTTGCCTATACATGCTAGGGAATTTTATTTCTGTTCTTAGTCGGTTATCTTTAGATTGATAGCCGGTATATAACTTTGGTCATTGTGGAAATTTCACAACTTTGAAATCATGCTCAATGACTACTCCCATTGATGGGAAAATATTCGACTGTTGAGGGACTTCGCTCTAGATGAAGCGCCATGCAGTAACTATTTCTAACCTGCAGAGCACTGTTTTGGGTTGAGACGTTTAGTAAACCCTAATTGAGAACCAATAATACGGTACACATCATGTCTATACAAGCTTACTTTTGGTGTGTACTTGAGTTCAGGTTTTGGCTCAACCCATGTTAATTCTTATTAGAACTTTAATTCATATTGTTGTGTTACTTACTTCCAGTATGAGATAGAATTTGGTTCCCTTACAAAGTTATTGCCTGACTAACCAGCCTGAATTTCAAACTAATATGGATTTGATTAGTTGGATTGTTTGTTCTGGGTCAGAAATTATGGACCAAATAGCTTGGATCTGTTCTTGGATTAGCTTGGAATAGAACAACCTGATGCAAAGGTGAGCTTTCAGCTGTAGAGTCGCGACTGCAACATACGTAAATGTTTCTATATCCATTATTTGTTTCTGATGCAATTATAAGTATGGATGTAGACCTTTCAAGCTAGTGAATAACATTTTCATATTTGACAAAGTCGGACATGGAATAATTCAAATGTGTACAGAAGCTGACCAAAAAAAAAAAAAACAACTGTGAAGCCGAAAAGTAAGTTCATAAATACAGTTGGGTATTTAGGGTAATTATTATGAAACCCCCTTCAGGTCTGACCGTTTATTATGAGACCCAACATTATTTTTTCATTACAAAACACCCTGCTGTTTACAAAACTGTTATCCATTTAATTTCTACCATTTTCTTGAAAATACCCCTCAATAAAGCTCTTCTTCTTTCTCAAATGATTGCAAACCTTCTTTTTATATGAAACCCAAGTAAATGCGACCGTTAACAACGAGAAAATTAATAGATCAATGTAATCTCTTCAACCCATTGATTTTAGCCTTCTATTAAGCAATGTTACATTAAATGCTGGGCGTTTCTAGGCGTCGGACTTGGCGCCCAGCGCTTAGTCGCCTAGGCGGGCGTCTAAGCGGTTTCTGGGCGTTTTTTTTCTTTCTTCATTTAAGTGGTGATCGATGAGGTTTTGCTGAAGGTCGGAGGAGGTAGTGGAGAAGTTCATATTTGGAGGTTAATGGAGTTTGGAGGACGTGTAGGCTACGACACATAAAATCACAATCAAGGCCTATAGGGTGCAATCCACATAAGCAGACAATGCTCCCCTAAACGCTCGTAAAATCTAGATGGGCAGCCTAAATACCGTCTAGGCGCTAGTTAGGCGGCCTAGGTACCGTCTAAGCCTAGGCGTACGCCTAAGCGGACTAAGCGGAGGTTTTTTAAAACAGTGCTATTAAGTGTACCTTGAATATGTAGTATGTGTCTTGACTTTGGGAGAAAGAGAAAATATGTTGAGAGGAAGAAAAAGAGGGTATAACAGTTTTTTTAACAGCATGGTGTTTTATAATGAAAATAGCGTGAGGGGGTTTCATAATAAAGTGACAAACCTGAAGGGAGTTTCATAATAATTACCCAACATGGTTACATATGAGAATTGATCATGTCAGGACACGGTTTTACTAATACGTTGGTGTATACTGAAGGTTTAGTATGTGCAAACCTGCAACTGATTCCATAAAGATGTCATAAGAATTGACCCCACTAACTACTTGACTGATTCCATCCCTTGGGAAAGTGTTTTCGGTCGTCTGTGCGAGAGGCTGGGTTACTTGTGACTTCGAATATGCTAGAAATTCACAGTTATTATGATATTATAAAAGAAACTTACTGAATATCCTAATCCTGTTCTGGTTCACTTTACTATTCAGGTTCTGATTTAGATCAGATAGAAATTTGTGGCAGGCGTTATGTATATTCTAATTATGTTAGGTGAAGTATAGTTACCATATCCAGGAACACTTGAATCCAAGTTCAAACATGTTAGGACAAAATCTTATTTGCACCTATTTAGCTACCATTATAGGCATTTTGATTCTTGTTATTTATGTAAGAAATATTTCATGGAAAAATTTATTCAGAAAGTGACATAGGAATAGAATCGAATAGATTCTTTAATTGATCTCTTGATACTTTATTTCTTTCTTACACTAACCCCTTTGCTTCATGCCTTTGTCAATTTAGTAATAGCGATTTGGCTTTTAATTACATAAGAGATATAAATTTATCCACCCAATTCCAGTAGGGCCTCTTTCTACTTTAAATCTTTCTTACGTTATCCCCTTGATACTTTATTTCTTTCTTACACTAACCCCTTTGCTTCATGCCTTTGTCAATAGCGATTTGGCTTTTAATTACATAAGAGATATAAATTTATCCACCCAATTCCAGTAGGGCCTCTTTCTACTTTAAATCTTTCTTACGTTATCCCCTTTTTTTCACGCCCTTGTTAATTTAGTGATATAGATTTGGCTTTTAATAAGATATAAGTGAAATAAATTTATCCACCCAAGTCCAGTGAAACACCCTTTCTTTTTGTCAGTATGATAGGTAATTGCAATGTGTTCTACAAACAGATTCTTTTATACTTGCTGCTACCCTTGTTTTAGGGTAAATTTCACAAACACCCCAACAGTTTGGGGGTGTTTCCTTCAATATGCTGAACTTTATTTTTCTCACTAATCTCCCAAAATTCCAAAGAGCTCAAATAACTCCGCACCCCCCCTCCCCTCCACCACCACACACACACCAAAAAAAAAATTGCTTTTTAATTTCCCAACAGAGCCCCCAAAAAGTGCCTCTTGTGCAATTGGAGGACTTTATTATCTGCCCTGTTCTTTCCTTGTTTTCTCTAGGGCTTATCCTTTGCTCTTCTCCTTTTTATTTTTTCGTGTGTTGGTTGGGGTTTTGTGGGGTGGGGTGTTTTTTTTTTGGGGGTTGTGGGAAAAATAAAATTTTGGGGCGTTACTTGAGACCCTTTGGACTTTTGGGGGTTTTGTGAGAAATGCCCCAAAGTTTTGGAGGGTTTTGTGAAATTTACCTCCTTTTTATTGTACAATTCAGCATTCTTTTTCTGCGGTGGTGATTGGATGTCTGACTACCGAAAGATTTTGCTGTTTCAGGTTAGTGTTGCCTCCTGTTTTATCAGCATCATCATCATTCTCTGCAACCATGCTCCATTATTGCCATATTTTGTTGCTGATGAGTTCTCCTGCCAAGGTTAAAAGTCTCGTCTTTACGTGAGATTGTAAAGTTTTTGATCTTTGTACAGGAATATGTGAAAATTTTTAATCTATCAATAATAATATATTTATTGAGAAAATCATGAGTGTGTGCTGCATGATTTTTAAGTTCCTTGGAAAGCAATCTCAAACTTGTTCATCCTTGCTTCTTTTATTTTCTCTTCTACAGATTTATGTGTTTTCTAAAATAAAGATATGTAAAGTGGTATTTGGTATCTGGGTGTTCTATAGTCAAGCTATAATAATATAGGCACTGTAGAATAAATAAATTTTCCTGAGAAAACCTGGAACTTCGAATTCATATGATTGTTTTTAGCATCAGAATCCATATAGTTCCCACATGCATCAAGAACATCTTGGCTGAGGATCACAGTACTTATAGAGCAGACTCTAGTTGTGATGGTAATCTTGCTGATGTGGGGTCTTGTCTAGTTTTGATTAAGATGATGTGTTTGTTTTATGAAGGTTATTGCAAATCTTGTTATCTTCCCCCTCTATTCACGTTCTTTCTGCTGGGAATGATTTATATGTTTTCGGACTTAATGATTTATATGTTGACAAGAAGAAAATGAGCGTATATGTTGATCATGTTAATAGGAAGCTTGTGTTTGGTTTGTCCTTTTTGGGGAGTTTCTTTTCTGCCTAAAAATTGTTATCTTGGACCAGTAGTACCACATTGTACTGTGGAATACGTACAGTTTTCTTTTTTCTTGGTATGGAATAAACTCATAAAACGTAGACCTTTAATAAAGCTGGTAATGATATCATGTTCATATCAGGTAAAGTATGCAGAAAAGATGTGTTTTTTTTTTTTTGCTGTGCCTTTTGATTTATAACGTGAAAGTGGGTTGATGGGCACGTGCTACCGGGTAGGGGTGGGCAAAAACCGAAAAAAACCGGTTCAACCGAAAAAACCGCCCGAAAAAACGGACCGGTTAACCGAACAGAATTAAATGGATGAGAAAAAGTCTCTAAACCGCCGGAACCGAATTAAATCGGTTTGGATTCGGTTTGAACCCCTGAACCGCCCAAAAAAAAACCGACCCGAATTCTGTTGGGCGGTTTAGAGACTAAACTTGTACCTCAAAACTTTTCTTGTTATCATCCAATAGACTCAAACGGCGCAAGGAGCAGTTTCAAGCAATGAGTACAGCAATATCAAAGAAAAATATCCTTGAGAACTAAGTAAAGATTCAAATCAATTCAGAAAATTTGTTATGCACATGATGCACTTACAAAAGATGCATATGCTACATTATATGAACAATGTCATACAAAACATCACTCCCCCGTGTAATTAAATAAACTTAAACTTTAGTTAAAAAATTTCCTAGAAAAGATCTTGAGAATTACATAAGATTCAAATCAATCACAAAATGTGTTATGTACATGATACTTACAAGAGATAAGCATGCTGTATTATATGAACAACATCTTTAAAACATCAGTTCTCTGCGTAATTATATCAACTCAAAACTTTATTCTAAAGATGATAACCAGTCTAATAAAGCTTTGTTGGCGAGCTCAGGAACCTCGTCATGAGGACAATGCCCAGCTTGCAAATTCACAACAGAAGTCTTTGGATAGAACTCTTTGTAAATTCAAAACCGAAACCGAACCGAACCGAACCGAACCGAATTTCGGTTGGGCCGAATATTCGGATGAAGGGGAAAAATTTGGATCTGGATAAGAGTTTTGAGAATCCGAAAAATTCGGATTGGATGCGGATTGGGCATAAAACCGAACCGAACCGAATATGCCCAGCCCTACTACCGGGTGTAAATATTGAATCTAATAATGTGTGTGTGTCTAAGAGAGCCTTAGGACATTTATCTTTCCGTTGACTGTATATTTTGGATCCAGTACCCAACAATTTTGAAGTTGTTGCAAAGCTTTCAGTTCTGATGATAGATTTCATTTTTTCTAATGCTTTTGCTGTACAATCCCAATCATATATTTATGGAGCCTGTTGTCTTATGCAGGTGCGTCCAATGGGAATGTTTAGCTCAGTAGCCTGCTTGAACCTGCAGATATGCTTTGGTATGTTTTATTCCTTAGCCTACCATTTCATCCTTATTGAATTTGAGTTTAGGTTCTAATAAAGATCTTGATTTTAATGGAAAGAGAATCGGCAGTAAAATACCTCAAAACTTTCACCTACTTTTTCACTTATATACCCTCAGATGTATTCCATCACACTTGTAGACCTAAACTTTCCTATGTTCTAAGTTAACAAATGATGTTTATTTTTTGTTAGAAGGATGAGAATATCCTTGGTTAAAGAAGTAGCCCCCACTCTGTCTTCTCAGAAAAAAAAAAATCAAGGTTATAAATCACATGAGAATCATTTAAGGGATATTCTCTAGGTTGTCTAACAAAAGCTACTAATATGAAAATACAGCCAAATAAGACATGAGGGTATAATAAGTGAAAAATAGATGGAATTTGAGGTATTTAGGTGCCAATTGGCCTTAATAGAAATAATTGGAATAAGCTCAATATGCATTTAGTATATGAAATGAAAATATTTCCCATTCCATTGGATTTGACGGACTCAAAGTGACTCGGTAAGTCAACAACAGGCACCTTTAAGTTGAGAACATAAGCTTCTGCAGAGGTATGAGGCCTTCTATTCGGACCAACATGGGCTGCATGATTATGATTGTTTAACTTCTTCTTTTTTTTTTCTGTCCCCCTTTAGCATGCTATTCAAATGTCCTTGAGTTTTGCTCAGCGTAGTTTTCATATATTTGAGTAGTCTACCAGGAAGTGGATTTAGATTCCAGAGTAACTTCATGGAAATTTTATATTTTCCGCTCATATTAAAAAAAATAAAAAGGTTTTGCAGTAATGGTACTGTAAATCATGTTTTGAAATTAGTCCCTCCCTCAAAAATATTATTTAATCCCTCAAATTATTCATTTCAAGTTAGTCACTTTATTAGTTAGTGCTGTCTACATGGTTAACTTCGCTCGGGCTAGGTGTTAACCGCACATGTTGAATTATTATACTTCTGTAGTCAATTGGCCGCCCTTCAAAAAGGAGACGGGAACGGGCTAAATGTCTAGAAACCCAGATGTGGGGTTTAAACGGGTTGAAACAAACGAGCGTGTTTGGATAACTTAAAACATAATAAACACGTGAAATAAAGGTTAAGTTAAATGGTACTGCTCCCAAATCAAACGGTAGTTGGATACGATGTTTTAAGAAAACTAGCGCTTAGCTTAGGCGGTAAACATGCCATCCGCCTAGATCTTAGGGAGCATCTAGGAAACTGTGGGTTGCTTACATGGACGTCACCACTTATATCTAGGTCATCGTCTCTTAGCGGTACGTACCTAGTGATTTCTATAACATTGACGTTTATTAACAATATTTATAACCAACAAAAAAAAAAGAAGAAGAAAAACCTTATAGGCTGCCTCTTGGGTGCACAAATGCCTATCACTTTATGTAACCTTAGCAACATGGACTAATTTGAAATAACCATTACCATTTGAGGGACACTATTCATGATTTGAGGGACTAATTTTAAAATATTGAAGACTTGGACACCAATATTTGGGAAGGGGGGAAAAAAAAATAAGAAAAAGCGTTACCGCAGTATGGAAAAGGCATTTATATGGATTGTACTGGTTTCTAATTGGAATTATTAGGTTGGTTTTCCTTCCCTTTTGACTAATTTCTGACCACAGATCATTGCTTTCTGTGCTGCAAGCGCAATATTTACTTTTCGCGAGACGTTTACTGCATATGCAAATGATAATTTCAAGTTGGTTTAATACCCGTTCAAAAAAGAGATCTCTCTCGCGGGAGGCAAGCATTAAAAAAAAAAAATGGTGGGTCCCACAAATGTGCTTCTCTCTCTTCCAAGCTAAGCTATGTCCAGCGTCATGAATGCTCAATGCCCAATAAGCTGATTTGAGAGTGACAAAATGCGGAGCAATATCTGCGGCGTAGGTCCCCTAGGTAAAAGAATTTTTATGCAACCATAGAGAACTGTACAATGGTTCATTGCATATTTGAATGCCAAGTAAGGAATAATTTTTGGATCAGTACATCATTACCCAAATTCTGCTTTCTATGATACATTAATCCTAGAATGGGTAGATTTTAATGCACCATTAATCTAGTTGACAGATTATACGATAGTTTCTCCATTGCTAACGCTCCCCTATCGCCCTCTAGGGTCCCGCCATTTAATTTGTGCATAGATTTTAATTGCAATTGTTTTTAATGTGAGATAATATATTCTTGAGATAATTTGATGGTATATATATATATATATAGTATATATATTATATATTATATAATTATATAATATTATATAGAAGAGGGGAGAGAGAGATGCCAGAGAGATGAGAGAGAGAGTAGAGAGAGAGAGTCGAGAACTTGGTACCAAGTTTCTCCATTGAACATGGTTTATGATGCTGGAGCTGAATTGCCACACCATATGGATTTCAGAAAAGGGTTGATGTAAGTTTGCAAAAAAAACCCATTTAAAAAATCTCTCTCTCTCTCTCTCTCTCTCTCTCTCTCCACCTTGTAGGCAAATAAAATTGCCTTTAACCTAAAAATCAGGAGTTCGTCTGCAAGACTTCGCCTGAGCATCCAAGCTCGCAAGAACAAAGCTCATATGGCTTATTCGCATGCATCAAATAGGCTAAGTCAAACTCACCTGAATGCTTGACTTCGCAGGCGAAGCGAAGTTCGCCTAAGCATTCGACTTCGCCTAGAAAGAACTAAGCTCACCGTAATGCTTAGTTCGCTAGCTCGCCTAAATGCTTCGCTCGCCCGCACGAGTCAAGCTCGCCTGCAGGAGGTTTGCCCGCACGATCCAAGCTCGCCAACAGGGTTTCAGCTTGCCTGAACGTTTAAGGGGTTCTTCTGTCAACCTTGCCTGTTCGCCTAGCTCGCCTGCAACTCGCTTACCTTGCCTGCTCGCCTAGCTTACCTGAACGGTTAGAAACTGCTTACTTGAATTGTGGAAGTGATTACGCCCACTTCCAACGTTCTAAGGGGTGGTTATGATCTTTCTCAGCTATAAATAGCCATATCTGGTTACATGAGATGGGGATTTGAGGATTTTTTGGCTCTTGAACTGATCG